AGTTCCCAAAAGCTAGGTGGTTCCCCCCAATTCATAGAACTCTAAATAGGGTTCCCAGTCTGCTTTCTTGTATGTCTTCTTTTTTTTCCTCCCTTCAACAAGCCTGATTACACACACATAATCACTACATGTGTGGCAGCACTAGACAATTAAAAAAATTAGATTTTTAAAAGGTCTTGCCCAGCTTTTCTTTGGAAAACTTGAAATGAAGTATTTTGCTTTAAACTTGGCAAAGCTATGGGGCGCCTGGGTGGCGCAGTCGGTTAAGCGTCCGACTTCAGCCAGGTCACGATCTCGCGGTCCGTGAGTTCGAGCCTCGCGTCAGGCTCTGGGCTGATGGCTCAGAGCCTGGACCCTGTTTCTGATTCTGTGTCTCCCTCTCTCTCTGCCCCTCCCCCGTTCATGCTCTGTCTCTCTCTGTCCCAAAAAATAAATAAACGTTAAAAAAAAAAATAAACTTGGCAAAGCTAAAGACCAAAGTGATGTCTGTGATCGGGGAAAGTCTGACTAACAATCAAATACTATTACAGGGCCAGTAGCATCACACATGCTTTTTGCTTGTCAAAGGTGATGAAAGATACGCAGAGGGCCAAAATCAAGCAACATAATGAGAACACCATGGAAATGATTTTGTTTTCAGCGTTGCTGAGTTTTAAAGCAAAGTAATTTATTTCAAATTTTTCATTAGACATTGAATTGTAAATTGTGGAGACTCTTTTGAAAATGCTTAATTTTTAATTCCTAAAATGAGCATTCATCTAACAAATGTAAACCTTAATGAGACATTTAGGGGAGGGGGCTGCACTTTCATTTATTCTAATTAGCCTCTACTTTCAAAATCGGTTGCAAATTCTTCATTTCATTAATGACATATCAAAAAAAAAAGAAAAAAATAAATTATTGAGTTCTGGGTGAAAGCATTTATTTATTTTTTTTCTGGAGAGTAATTATTAAACACAATAAAAACCTCACTGAATCTCATTTCTACACAGCATTAAAGAGTTTCTGGGCCAAACAATGATTTTTTGCTGAAAAGTCTGTAAAAATAACTAGTGTGGAAAAAATGATCATGTGTTCATGGAGGACATTACACACGCTTACCTCCCCAACTCTGCTCACTTTTTTCTTTGCAGAGTTGGGAAAATAACCAGATTATAAAAACCTCCCAATTTGACCAGCAGAGGTCACCCTTTCTCCTTTATTGTTCCCAATAACCGGTTTCTCTGCTGTGATTCCTCAGTCCAAGGAAATGCAGGAGGTTTCGGCCGCAAGCACAGCCAGAGGGCTGGTGGAAATATATGCATCATTCACACTGGCTGCATCTTCTTACATAAGCACTGTTGAGACATATTATCTACCTGGACTTTTAAATAGATAACTTGCATACATACAGTAAGAACCTTTAGGTTATGTATAATAATCCTATTCTTTAGTTCATCTACTTCATCAAGTGTTGTTCAATGCTTACTGGTGCCAGCTCAAGTTCTGCCCATTTCTCTGACTCATGGCCCAAAGAGTAGGGTCTCCCAACCCCCTTGGAGGTGATTGCCATGAGTCCTCAGAGAATATCCCCTGGTGAGTTTCTGCAGGGGAAAGAGGAGGAATTAAATTGGGTGAGGATTGACCAAGCATGGAGCCCAGCACCAGGTACTACAAGGTAATCTCGAGAGGAAGAGACCTCAGTCTCAGTTTTTGCCTGTGGTTTTGTTTTGGAAACAAAAGCATACATTTGTAGTTCATTTGAAGACTAACATTGAACTGCAGAATGAAGTTCTAGATGGATTATGTATGCGTGTCCAGAGAATGGGTCAGTCCATAACTATAATCTACAGAAGGCTAGAGGTGGTCGCGTGATCGAATTGCTTCCATCCTGTTGCCTTATACTGGGGGAGATGGGAGTGGGGGTGGGGAGAGGTACACGTGTCTGGCCAAATCCAAAAATGGGAATTCCTTTTGTCTTCCTCCCTTTATGGGGGAAATAATAGGCATTTTCTTGGGGTCCCTGGGGAAATTGGGCTTATTGGTTTTACATGAAGGTCTTTTCTCAATTCCCTCCCTGTTTCCCTTCTTTTCTTTTTTTCTGTAAGTCAAAGTTTTAGTTGGCATTTTAGAAGTTTAAAAATAAGGTGGGTTTTGGGGATTCTCTGTGGCTGTTGCTGTTCCCTTGAGCTTGAGGTAGCATGCCGGCAACGCACAGGGGATAAAGTAGTGCTTCCTTAACAGAATTGCTCTTACCCGTTCTGGGAAGGAGGACAGCCGAACGACCATGGCAGTGGACCTCCATTAATGCATGTGAGTGACACATCCCAGAGAGCAAAGTCTGCTGTGTTCCTGACATCACCCTCTGGGGTCCTCCTTTTTCTGCTCACTGGACTTCTCTGGTCCTCCCAGCTGGTTCTGCACAGGGTCACCTGCTATCTGCTCTATGTGACTTGTAGAAGTATCCTAGAATCACCTGGTACTGTGGATAAAAAGGCAGGAATTTTGCAAGCTGCTTTTTCAACCATCGGTAGCTTGAAATCAGCCGTGGTGGGAATATTTACAACACAGAAATTGGCAAACACTACGCGTCAAGCCCGCCCCCTGCTGGCGTACCCGTATGCCACAGCCTACATGCCCTTCTGTGTACTAACTGAAACCTACTCACGTCATTTTTTTTCTTAACAGTGACACCCACAAATATTTACCAGAAAAAAAAGAGACACAAATAGCCTGACTTCCTTCTGCTCCTTCTTCAAAAGTGTTGAGACGAAAGTTTTTTTATCAAGTGCAGATTTCTGCTCTTAATTTTAACCAGAGTTTGTTGAAAAGACAGGCAAGTTGTCCTAGCTTTCAAGCACAGTCTGATTCCTTTCTTTAAGCCCACACTAGCCCAATTTCCTTTTAAAATCCCCCATTTTCCTCTTCCTGTCTCCTCTGGCTTCCTGAGGGTAACTGTCCCCCGACATTGTCTCTACCCTAAGGCATCAGACTCTCCACTGGTTCTTTTTGGCTCCAGAAGCCATTCTAGGTCTGCAGACCCACCCGGGCTGTCTGCTCTCCTCAGGTGTGTTTGTGAGGAACAATGGCTGTTTCTGATTTCCCCACAGCATCATCCTCTTATTTCTTGACAGGTCAAATGTGGACCCCATGGCATTACACCTGGACTCCTGGCATTGCTGAGGCAACAGTCTAGAGGGAGAGGAGAGTAGTTTGCTCACTGGCTTCCTCACCCAGACAATAAGCACTGTTCCTAACCACTCTGGGGAAGGTACAGCTACACAGCCCCAGAGGCTGCATGTTAGAAAAAGCCATGTGGATTCTAGAACCCACAGGCTAGAGGTACTGTGAGGAGGCTGCCCCTCCCAGCTGCAGATGTTGTCATATTTACTGCCATGAACCCAGTGCCTAGAAAAGTAGTTAATCCCCATTTGTTAACGGACCCGTTTTATCTCCCTCCCTCAGGCAGAAACATATTAGTCAGCTCAGGCTGCCATAATGAGGGGGCCGCAGACTGGGTGGCTTACACAGTAGACATTTATTTTCTCACAGTTCTGGAGGCTAGAAGTCCAAGATCAAGGTTATGGGAAATCTGGTTTCTAGTGAGACCTCTCCCTTTGGCTTCTGGATGGCTGCCCTCTCACTCCTCCTCCTCCTCTTCTTCTTTTTAATGCTTATTTATTTATTTTGAGAGAGAGAAAGATAGAGAGTGAGCAGGGGAGGGTCAGAGAGAGAGAGAGAGAGAGAGAGAGAGAGAGAGAGACAGAGAATCCCAAGTAGTCTCCACACTGTCAGTGCAGACCCCAAAGTAGGACTTGAACTCAAGAACCGTGAACTCATGACCTGAGCTACCAACTGAACCACCCCAGGCACCCCTCCTTCCTCTTCTTACAAGGACACTGTAAGATTAGGGCCCCGCCTTATGAACTCATTTAAACTTAGTTACCGTCTTCTAGGCCCTTTCTCCAAATATAGTCATATTGGCTAGGCCTTCAACATGTGAACTTTGGGGGTGGGGGTGGGGGTGGGGCAGAATTCTATCCATAACAAATGGGAACTGGTTCTGGTTTAAACATATTTACAGAAAAAAGGAAATGCCCTCACAGTCTCCTTTAGCTCACTCTTTCAGATTCAACAACCCGCTCTTCAGGGAAGTCTCCCACATGGCTTAGATCCTGCTCCGTGGAGGGTGAAGCGACTGTTTCTTCTGCTTCCACGGGGAGGGCAGAGAGCGAATCGTAATCCGGTATATCTGTGGTTTCCATCTGTGCATCTCCACTTATCCCTCAAAATTTATCCACTCAAAATTAATTTTTATTCATCCAAATTTAAATAGTCAACACGTGCAGTAATCTAAGAAGAGGCGCACAGAGCCAAGTCAAACAGTGATGGGGCTTTGTGACTCTCCCAAGTGAGAACTTTAATTCCTTAAAAACCCTAATAACACAGTGGGTTTGAAAATCGCTATTACATTATCCCCTACCCTTCTCTTCTTCAACTAATTCCTTCTCCAGTCCTGTTTCTTCTGTTCGCTGTTGAGGACATAAGTCAGGGTGGAGGCCAGACAGCATGCCTCTTTACTCCTCATTCCTATTCAGTTTTTCCTTCATAAATTTGGGTTTCGTGCCTCTTTTTGTGGGGTAAGTTCTTCTTGTGTTTATCAGATGTTTTTGGGCGGTTGGAGAGTGGCAATGGGAGCTGGTGAATGGGAGCTGGCAAGAGGGCAGCATTGGGAAAACAAGTCCAAGGCTGAGTACATGCTCCTTTTCTGTGCACGTTTAACAGGAAACTTCTTTTTTTTTTTTCAACATTTATTTATTTTTGGGACAGAGAGAGACAGAGCATGAACAGGGGAGGGGCAGAGAGAGAGAGGGAGACACAGAATCGGAAACAGGCTCCAGGCTCTGAGCCATCAGCCCAGAGCCTGACGCGGGGCTCGAACTCACGGACCGCGAGATCGTGACCTGGCTGAAGTCGGACGCTTAACTGACTGCACCACCCAGGCACCCCTTAACAGGAAACTTCTGGAAGCAAGATGCTTGAATGCAAAGAAACCGAGTGCCTATGATGAGGGTTTCAGGCAGGTCTGTGAGAGATAGTTTGTGGGGGTGGTGGGGACTTTCTTCAGATCACACCATCTGGACAAGCATCTGCCTCTCCCCTTCTCTCTAAAGTAGCCCAGAGAGCTGCGGGCTGGGAAGGGGGCAAGGGCAAGACTCAGCCAAGGAGGCAGGGTGGGGGATGGCTGTGTTTGTGACTCGTGCACTACCTTGCCTCCGAATGGGTTATTAGCTGCATTTAGGGTTGCACCGCCCACGTGTGGTCCCAGGTGCAACAGGCTTGAAAGGAGCTGGACCTGGGCCACATCAGAGGTGGGGCTGGAGGTTGGCAACCCCAGGGTGGGACCTCCCTCCCCCAGTGGAATCTTGACTCTCAAGACTTAAGAGCTGGGAGGCACCTCAGAGGCTCAGCCAGCGTAAGCCTTTCATTTCACAGATGAAGTCACTGAGGCCCCAGAGGGCTCCGCCCTCTTTCTGGGCTTGTCAGAGGCACTTAAGAAATACATGTTGACTTGACACCACCCACTGTGAAATAGGCATAACAAAACTCCCCGCAAGGCAGCCGGATTAGGCTGCCAGCAGCTGGGAATGATTCTCCCTCTGCTGGTTAAGCCTCAATAGCAGGGGAGTAGTAGCGGGGCATTGTGGGAAGTCTGAGGGCACAACCCGCGTGGAGGTCCAAAGCCTCCCTTCACAGATGAGAAACTTGAGTTTAATACAATGTCATTGAGCCCAACTCCCCCTCAGGTTACAGATGAAGAAACTGAGGCCCAGAGAGGGGAGCCATTTGGCTGGTGAATTGCAGGCAGAACTGGGCTTTGAACCCCACAGGCAGGCTTCCCCACCGATCGATGTTCTCCAGGGACATCTCCTCTGACAGGGAGCCTCCTTGGCAGCACGTCGCCAATGTGGGATTGGCTGTATCGTTTGGATTCAGAGAACACGGGGGAATGTGATGGAAGGGAGGCTGGGGAGTAGGGAGGTGAGCAGCGAGAGGCGTGGGGCTAGGCGTGGGGAGGCAAGTCTGGCTTTCCTGCACGCCGCCATTTTGTGACTCAAGATGGAGCGCGAGTTATTGTCCCACCAGTGAAATAGAACCATATAAATTAAACCTGCAATGAACTGTCTGCTGAAGGTGTGAACAAGGCCGACAAATCCCTGGGAGCTTAGGAAACATCTGCTCTTTACCTCGAAGGCAGAAACTTGACCATAAAGCAGAAAAAAAGCCAGAACTGGAATCTTTCACTTTCTCTGAAGGGCCCAACCTTCAGATAAACTCCATAACTGAGGGAGATTTTGTGAACCATGAGCTAGCTTCTCCCCTTCTCCTTTCCTAGTCTGGAATTTCCCTGCTTCTGCCATGCTTATCTCAGTTATTCAGTGATCTTGGGCTGTTGTTATGCAGTCAGAGAAGGGAATCTAGACCTGGTCAGGGTCCTTTCTGCTGAGTCTCAATGGTGAGTGGGGGGGGGGCGCCCCAGAAGAGATGAGAACAAGATGTGTGTTGGGGGACAAGAATTAGGAGTAGAGGCAGGTCACCAGGCCTTGGTCAGAACCCCTGGCCAGAGGTCGGGGGCTGAGCATCGGTGTGGGGAAAGGGCAAAGAACAACTAAGAGCTGAGGTCAAGAATCCAGATCATCAGAATTGGATTGCTCATTTTTGAAAATTTTTATTTATTTTAGGGAGAGAGAGAGAGAACAAGTGGGGGAGAGGGGCAGAGGGAGACAGAGAGAGAATCCTAAGTAGGCTCTACACTCAGTGCCCAACATGGGGCTTGATCCCATGACCCCAGCAACACATGACCTGAGCTGAGACTAAGACTCAGTCGGTCAATCGACGGAGCCGCCCAGACCCCCCAGAATTGGATTGTTAATCTAATAGCAGGAGTCTTGGAATCAGAGGGGCTTGAGGAAGCACCATGACTGAGGGCCAACATGTGAAATGCTGATTTGCAGCAAGGTCTTAAACACAAGGATGGCAAATAGGTGACATCTTGCTTGCTGATCCTACCTGAATGGTGATGGCCATGTGAAGTGTGGTATTTGGGAGGGTCAGATCCCTGATAGGTCAGGTCCCTGGCAGGACACACAGATCCCTGCTGTGTTCATTGATGATGTCTGCTATAAATAGGTCAAAGAAGAGACTGCCTGGTGTGACATATTTCCCATTCCTACTTTGATAGCCTCTCCTAATAGTCCTTATTCCATTCACTCCTGGTTTGCAGCTTCTACCTATGCATTTGGTTCACCCGTAGTCTTTCAGAATTCTGAACGGGTGCTATGCTGCTGGTGCAAGTCATGGCACTGCCTTAGAGATGAGAAATCTCTCTTCATTTACCCTTCATTTACTTAGAGTGAGGTCTAAGACTTGTTCTCTTTATATCCTGTTAGTTTCAGTAGCAAAGGGTATTGTGTGAGTAAAATCCTTCAGGTATAAAATAATAGGTATTTTCAAGGCTTGGAGGCTGTGCCTGGATGTAGACCACCATCTTTGTCAGGTGGTCCCATCTCTTATGTTTTCTCAGAGGAGCATGAACAGGGGAATCTAGTAGATGGTGATTAGTGAGGAAGCAACGCGGTCCATTCTATGCTCCTAGCTCTACCTCGGGATAAACTCGTATTTTTCCAAAATGATAAGGAGCAGATATATAATAGGCAGTTGGTAAGTGAAATGAACTCTGTGGTGCACAGCAGACCATCACAAGGCAAGAATGGCCCAGACCCTGCCCTCAGGGGCTTGTACTCTAGGGAGTATATGTGGCGGTGGAGTGAGGAAGGATGGGTAGCAAGAAGGATTTAGTTAGTAATAAACTGAGATGGCTGGTGAGAAGAGCCAGTGCAGTGGGCTACTTACTGCTTTTGGTCATAGTCTTATGGACACAGTTGTGCTTGGTTGGGGTGGTGGTGGGGCCAGGGAGAGAAAAATCCATATTTCTTCCCCTTCATTTCATCTGCACACATGAGATTGATCAGAGTTGCAACTTTGAACTTTTTGATATTTCTCCAGGGGCAGGTGTCAAAATCCACTGTGTATAGAGGCAAGCACCTGGGATTGGACCTGGATGTTTCTCTAATTGCTTCTTAGCATGATTTTGGGCAAATTACGTGATCTCTTTGGGCTCCTGTTTCTTCTTTTTTAAATCTGTGAGGTGGGGTAAAATATCTGCCTTGCTATCTAATAGGATTAAAAAAGCATTAGTATGTGTGAAAGTGATTTATAAATTGTAAAGCCCTATAAAAATGCAAGGGTTTACTGTGCCATTAAGCATGAATCATTGTTAGGCACAAAAGACATCCCTATTGCGTTGAAAAATGGGGTCTCTCTTGAATGGGATGTTTACTCCATATTTTATTTAACCAATCTAGAATCCATGGTAGTGTTCTCTTCTTTCACTATTTGATGATGCTGCGCTCCTGATCAGTAGTTAAAACCTCTGAGCTGTTTTAGCAAAGGTGGAGAACTTTTTCCCTCACCCTCCACGGGCTGGTTGCTCTACAGAGAGAAGGGGCTTACATTGTTTTAAATGTTTATTTATTTATTTTTGGGGGGCAGAGAGAGAGAGAATCCTAAGTAGGCTCCCCACTGTCAGTGCAGAGCCAGGCAAAGGGCTTGATCTCATGAACCATGAGATCATGACCTGAGCTGAAATCAAGAGTTGGATGCTTAACCTACTGAGCCATCCAGGTGCCCCAAGAAGGGGCTTGCATTTTAAGATCGATGACCAAGTGTAAGGTGCAATCTTGGACTGCAAACTGGAGGAGAGCTAACTGGCTCACAGAAGCCTTGCTCTCTTGGTTCTTGTTAACCCACTGGGCCGGCTGGACAAAGGAATGCCAAGCACCAGGTTCGGTTGTTTGGAGCTTGCTTTAGTCCAGCACGTGACTCCCCTCCCTGCAGGTTGCCAGGACGCAGTTCTTGTTGCTAGCGGACATTAGGGAGTTTCACTGCAAATTCTGTTTAGCTAATTTGGGCAGAAGAGGGTCTTGTCCCATTTGAGTCAAAGGCTCTGCAATTTGGAGCAAGTGCACTTTGAGCTCAGATCACATGCTGTGCTGGCAACTTGTTTTAACTTTTAATTCTTATAGTTAGGAGGAAAAAAGAAAGATTTCAAATGTCATTTGCTATAATGATTAGCTCCAGTGAGGGATTCTAGCTATGGTTATTTGCTTCAAAGCTTTAATTGGCTGAAGCCTGTATATTTGATCATTAACAAAATGGTCTTTCTTTTTGTATCATGTTAATAATTTTTTTTTTGTTTAATAGGAATGCAGCTTTGATTTCTTCCTGGGCTAGGTTGCTATTTTTCTGGCACTGAGAAGTGTTGGTTTAAGATTTTGCCACATACGAGTCATGGCAGCATTCCATCTTGGAAGTCTCCAAGCTTGGGCCTGCTCAAAAAGATAGGACTGGAAGGAATATTCTTGGCCCAGCTGCAGGAAGCAGTTTGTTTAGATCAGACCCAAACAAGGAGGTTGGCTTATGTGGAAACTTTATACCTGTCTCACATGTTTTAGACACTTCTGAGAAAACAAACAGCTCCATATTTGCAATTACAAGGTCAAAAAAGTCGCATATTGGCCCCAGTGCCAATTTAGCTGAGTCCTCAAATGGCACTGATGTTAAGTAAGAGTATGTTGTGGCCACTTAACCAATCTCCACACCTGGAAAAAATAAAAAATACAAGAAAGAACGCAAAGTGAATTTGAAACCAGAGTGGGCTATAGTGACAGTGTTCAGATTCTGAGCTCCTGAACGATCTCTACATTCTAGGCTTGGAAGGATATTTGAAAAGCATGCATCATTATGGGCAGAATCTTCTTAATCCGTATCTCAGGGGCAAGATTAACACTGTGCAACTCCCTGCATGGACCTGGATTCCTGGAACTATATTCTCACGAAAATTGAGAAAAAGTGACCAAGTCATCTTTTTCTTCCTTGTCTGTCTTAAGCCAGCTGGTTCATCTCCTGAAATTCAATATGCTCCCCCTCTTTTTTTTCAGATATGTCAGTGCACAAAAGAGGTTCATGAAAGGAAACAGCTGCACCGATACCAGCAGGAGCTGCTGCAGCTACAGATTTGAGGCGTGCACCTGCATGGGGTTGGGTGACAAGGGATTTGTCAGGGAAGGGAGTATCATGGAATACCAGGACTCTAAAGCCAGAGGGATGGATGGCTCCAGGGTGGCAAATTGGATACCCCACTGCTCACCTGGAGGTCATGGGATCACACCTGACTTGAATTAGTCAAAAGGATTCCAGGATGAGGGTTAGTTGGTCGTTTATGAATGAAATGATTAGCTGGATGTAACAGTTCCTAATAAACAGATTGTCCATATCAATGACATCTATTCAATGAGCCACAAACAAGTGGCATCTCTGTAACCCTCATGTGGGGAGGGGGAAGGACTGATGAGGGCCTGGAAGAATCCTGTGAAGGCCGTGACTGAATGTGATCACCAAGAGAGTAGGGCATGTAGAGAAGAGTCCCCGGTGGCCAGCCCTGTGCCCTCTAGTATGAGGAGGTGGGGAAGACTAGGAGGAGCACTTGAGGGAGAATGAGAAGGAATGACTATGAGATAGGAGGAAAACTAGAAAAGAGTCATGGCCTGAAAACCAAGTGAGCAACGTGTTCCAAATAGGAGGAAGGGGGCAGCATGTCCAGTGATATGTAGGAGGGGCACTGGGCGTTGATTTAGCTGCATAGATGTCACTGTTGACTTTGACAAGGGCAATTTGATGGGGTGATGGGGGTCACCATCTGACTGGAGGGAGTATAAAAGAGAACGAGAGGAGAGGATTTGGCAAAGGAGCACTGACAATTCTTACAAGGAGTTTTATTCTATAGTTTTATTATATAAGGGGCAGAGAAATGGGGTGGTAATTAGAGGGAAAATAGAGTGAAGAAGGTTTTTAAAATAAAAAAAAATTTTAATGTTTATTTATTTTTGAGAGAGAGAGACAGAGAGACACAGAGAGAGGGAGACACAGAATCTGAAGCAGGCTCCAGGCTCTGAGCTGTCAGCACAGAGCCTGATGTAGGGTTTGGACCCAGGAACTGTGAGATCATGACCTGATCCAAAGTTGGACTCTTAACCGACTGGGCCACCCAGGAGCCCCTAAAGGTTTTTACAATTTACTTTTTCAGCTTTCTTGAGATCCAGTTGAAAATAACCTCGTGTAGGTCTTTTCTTTTTTAAAGGTGGCAATAACATGCCAATGGGAATAATCCAGCAGAGAAGGAAAATTGTGTGATGATGTAGGAGAGAGAGGCGAGGGTTGTTGAAACGATGTCCTCGAGTGGGACCTAGGGTGCAAGTGGAGGGGCTGGCCTTCTCTTGGAGCAAGGATGGTCCATCCATAGTAAGGGGAGGATGGCAGTATTTATGGGGCAGATGCTGGTAGGTGTATAGAAGTGGAGGTGGGAGACTGTGGGAGTTCTTTTCTGAAAGTTTCTGTTTTCTCCAAGAGGTAGAAAGTGAGGTTAGCAACTTAGAGCGAGGAGGGAGAGGATGGGCTGGAGGGTGAGGGATGGTCATCCAGGAGGGTGGCAGGTGCATGAATGAGGGAATGAGGCGTGATGGCCAGGCAGCATGAGGACCCAGATGAGGTCATGGAAATGAATTACATTAAGACGAGTGGGTGTCGGTTGTATGATTTTCTCCAGCCATGTTCAGCTGTGGGATGTAGTACAGAACAGGGGGAGAGAGTTGGATTTCAGGGGTTGCCAATGGAGTTCTACCAAGCAGGAGAGGGGCACCCTGAAGATTTTTTTTCATTAAAGAAATAACTGATTATATAGACTTATGACACTGATTTAACAAACTATTAATTGGTTGTGACTCATCATTTGAAAACCACTGATCTAAATGGCATACACATTGTTTTTCTGCTTGGCTTTTTAATGTAGAGATAAAGCTTCAGTGAGGATTTCTCTGAAAATCCGTCAGGCATTTGTTGAATACCCACAAGGTGCCTAACTAGTTTTTAGTGCAGGGGTGGGGGAGACAGAAGGGGGATAAAACCCAGTTCTTGCCTTCAGGGTGATGTGTTAGAGAGGATGCAGTCAGCTGTCCCTCTCTCATTCAGCACCTGGGTCAGCTCACTACTCAAAGATGGCGCCTCATCGTGGTGTGCTACTGCCTAAACAGTTGAGTGTATGCCAAGGGGCCAAACATCACAGATGTCTACCTTCATGTCAATCTGAGAACACCTATTCTCCACATGCAGTCAGATCACCTGATCCCAGGACTGTCAATTCCTTTTACCTGATCAGCAAACTCTATTAATGCATCCTAAGATAGTTATCAGCCTTTCAGGCAACCTTAGTAAATTATTGGCTCACACTGGACTCATGTTCCATTCTCTGAGACTTAAAAAAAACAAACCTTAGTTGTCATCAATTTTTTATTATGTATTTAATTTTGGGGGGGGTGGCAGTGTGGGGTAAACTATATGCCCTTTTTTGGGGGTTGGGGACTGTGTGTTTTGGAGCTGCAGATACCCACTTGCTGTGTGAGGATAAAGCCAGGGTGGTAGCTTCCTCAAATTTTGGTTCATCTCAGAACATATGGCTCTGCAGGATTTGCAAGAGTCTTTGATGCAAAGAGAAAAATACTTAATTTCTTCATCTTTTTGTTCTATTTTTTGTTCTTTGATTCAAAGGGAGGAATGAGTTAGGACAAAAGTGATGTATTCTACCCTATCTTCTAATTATATTTTAATTCACTAGAAAAGGACTTCATTTCTCTCTGTGACATTCAGTGTTTACGGTCCCAGACATGGCATTTGCATTCTCTGTTTATGGTTTGGATGCTTTATGCTAACATACTTGTCACCGATACAGTTGGGCTTGCCTTTCCAGGCAACAGTTAAACCAGCAGGAGACCACTTGTGTGCAATTTGTTGGAATGAAATCTACATTTTGGGATTAGATTACTTAGTAGTGTCATTTTGCGTCGAGGCAACTTTGTGGGTGGTCTCCAATAAACCCTGCACGTACAGCGAGTGTCAGCCCTGATTATCTCCAAGCAAGCTTGTAATGACTGCACAGCTTGGTATTTACAAGAGAAAACCAGCTTCCCTTAACTTTTAATTTAGGGAGTGCAGGGGCATGGATGAACCCCCACAAGAGGGTGGCAGAAAGAAGGCCCATTGCAGAGCCATTCTTGAAGGGGTGCACCTCAACTTCCTGTTCCTTCTGGAGATCAGGATGATGGCCACAGATGTCACTTGGGGCTCACCAATTCGGACATTTGTCTTTAATGACGCCTGAAGGAGCTATCAAATCTCAAAATATGTAAGGGCTGAAGGATTCCTTGAGAAGGACAGATTAGTGGCATGAACTGTATGTTTGATTGAGACGTGAATATGTATGGTAAATAACAAATGATGTGCTGGACCCACCCCGATATCATTCTGGTGGTAGCAATTCTCCAGGGCAGTTTTCTTCACCAAGGGTTGATTTGGCCTTCAGGGGATATTTGGTGGTGTCTGGAGACATTTTTGTTGTCACAGATTGCTACATCTAGTGGGTAAAGGCCAGGGATATTGTTAACCATCCTGCGTTGCACAGACTGTTCCCTGCTCCTCCTACAACAAAGAATTATTGTGCCCCAAATGTCAGTGTGCCAAGGTTGGGAGACCTACTCCAAAGTACAGGAGTAGTGAGTAACACACTCTTGCCCTTGCCTATCCTCATTTCTTCCCTCCACACCCTCTGGTCCACATGGATTTCTTCTGTTTTTCTGCTTGCCTGGAAATCTCATGGTACTGGTGGTAAAAGATTAGAGTCACATAGTGGAGAGAACGCCTGATTTGGAACTGCACAGATCTGGGTTAAATCCCAGTCCGATGGCTCCAGTTTGGGCGACTTTGGGGGCAAATTAATCTCTCTGAGCCTCAGTTACAAAAAAATCTAAAACAATGGGGACTGCAGTCCTTAGTCAACACTGACTGGTAGGGAGATTCAAATTTATGTAAACGTATCAAGACTGGGTCGCTAGGAAATAGGTACTTCATAACATTTTTTTATCATCGCACGTTTTTGCTTGCCATTATTAAGGTTCGTTTTCCTCACGTTTAAGCATTATCCCAACAATTTCTTTTTATTGTGGAAAATTTACAAAAAAGATAAGCAAGCAGGAAGAAAGAAACGAAATCACCTGTATTCTTATGCCTTACACACAGAGATAATTACTGTTAATGCCTTCTGTATATGTATTTCTAGACTTTTCCTCTCTGTGTGTATGTGTGCTCATGCTGTGTGTACTATTTAGTGACTTGCTTTTTAGACTTCATGATGTATTAGGAACATCCCTCCATGTCAATACATATGGATCCACATCATCTACATCATCTTTAAAAAAAGCTGCCTAGTATTTTATTGCATCAATGAACCATGATTTAATCAATCAATCCCTTAAATTTTTGGACATTTAGATCATTACAGTTAGTCTTTAAGGCCCAGGAGAATGTCTTGTCTAGGCTGTACGGAGCTCATGGTTTGTAGTTGTAGAAAGGCAGTCCTTTGCGTGTGCACTTGCTACCGTACAGACATCCCCAGGTAGTCAATTCAGGAGAGCAGCACAGGATATATGTTCTCTGTGCCCCACAGAGTGGAGTGAATGTCCTTTTCTTTTCTTTTTTTTTTTTTTTTTTAATTTTTTTTTTCAATGTTTATTTATTTTTGGGACAGAGAGACACAGAGCATGAACGGGGGAGGGGCAGAGAGAGAGGGAGACACAGAATCGGAAACAGGCTCCAGGCTCTGAGCCATCAGCCCAGAGCCCGACGCGGGGCTCGAACTCACGGACCGCGAGATCGTGACCTGGCTGAAGTCGGACGCTCAACCGACTGCGCCACCCAGGCGCCCCTGTCCTTTTCTTTTCATGACACAGCATCATACAGTGGCTCAGGGCTCAGGCCCTGTAGTCAGGCAGCCCATGTTCAAATCCCAGTTCCCCTCTTTTGATACATGACTTCACCTGCCTGAGCCTCAGTTTCCACATCTGTAAAATGGTGATGCCAATTGAACCCACATCATTGAGATTTTCTGAGAATTCATTGACGTAGCGTACGTCAGGCACGTCATGCAAGGTCTGGTATATATATCTACGTGTGTATATATATATACATATATGTATACACACACACACGCACACAAAGGACTCAATGTGTTTTTACTTGTATCAGGTGGGAACAAATGTCTGACAAGCTGAGTGCTGCCTGGAAGTCTATGTTCTCTGTGTAAATTATTATCTAACATTACCAAGTGTCCCCCATCTGCCAGGACTAGCAGGAGCTGGAGTTCAGAGACCACTACCTGTTTTTTTTTCCCCTG